AGCTTGATGCTTGGAAAGATGTCTTCGGAATTGCGTAAGCAATTAGATGACATGGACAATTCATTGATGGTTGATCAGTTGAATGTGTCATTCCAAGAGAAAGCTGGGAGCCGAGGGAAGAATGATATGGTAGTTGTTGGAAAGAGTTCCAGCAAAAGGAAACGTTCCAAGGGCAAGGGCAAGAGGAAAGTGGCAAGCGTTGTCATTGAACCTAAGCCTGAGTCCAAGAAGGAAGAGTGTTATTTCTGTCATGCCACGGGCATTGGTATAGAAATTGCAGACTCTACCTGGAAGATCAGAGGAAGAAGAAGCTTACAGAAGCTTCGACTTCTGGTATCTTCGTTATAGAGGCGAACTTGTTTACTTATACATCATGGGTATTAGATACCGGATGTGCCTCGCACATTTGTGGAAATGTGCAAGGACTTCGAGGAAGTAGACAATTGGCGAAGGGAGAAGTAGATCTCCGCGTCGGGAACGGAGCAAGAGTTGCTGCGTTAACCGTCGGGACTTACGATCTCACTTTACCTTCTGGCCTTGTATTGGAGTTGCATGATTGTTATTTTGTACCTGCCATCAGCAGGAACATTATATCGATTTCATGTTTAGACTCGGATGGTTTCAGATTTGTTATTGAGAACAAATGTTTGTCCATTTATAGAGGCGATTTATTCTATGGTAAGGGTTACCAGTTTAATGGCTTTTATGTTTTGGAATATGAACCATCTAGATACATGTCGATCTATAACGTTAGTACCAAGCGGTTTAAGCCGAACGACTTAAACTCGACCTATCTCTGGCATTGTCGACTTGGCCAACGAGAAATGCAAAGCGAAGCTTCATTCTGATGGACTTCATGATTCTTTTGATTATGAATCAATCGAATCATGCGATTCCCGTTTGATGGGCAATATGACAAAATCTCCTTTTACTAGAAAAGGAGAACGAGCTACGGAGTTGTTAGAACTCATACATAGTGATGTGTGCGGTCCTATGAGCTCGCCCGCTAGAGGAGGTTATCTGTATTTTGTTACGTTTACTGATGATTTCAGTAGGTACGGTTATGTCTACTTGATGAGACATAAGTCTGAAACGCTTGGATTGTTCAAGAATTTCAGAAACGAGGTACATAACCAACTTGGCAAGACGATCAAGTTGCTTCGATCTGATCGAGGTGGCGAGTATATGAGCCAAGAGTTCACTGACTATCTGGCAGATTGTGGGATTGTCTCACAACTGACTCCACCTGGAACACCACAATGGAATGGCATTTCCGAGAGGAGGAACCGAACCTTATTGGATATGGTACGGTCTATGATGAGTCAGGTCGATCTTCCTAAATCCTTCTGGGGATATGCTTTGGAAACGGCAGCGCTTATACTGAACAACTGTCCAACAAAGTCGATTCAGAAGACTCCATATGAGATATGGACTGGGAAGCGTCCCAGGTTAGCATTTATGAAGATTTGGGGATGCGACGTTTACATGAAACGTCTGGCTTCTGATAAGCTATCTGCCAAGTCTGATAAATGCGTATTTGTGGGTTACCCTAAGGAAACTAAAGGGTACTGGTTCTACAACCCATCTGAGAACAAAGTGTTTGTTGCTCGGAATGGATCTTTCTTGGAGAGAGAGTTCGTCTCCAAGAGAGTCAGTGGGAGTAGAATAGATCTCGAAGAAGTTCGAGAACCACAAATAGTCGAAGAACCGAACGAACAGGTCGAAACAGTCCAACCTGTATCACGAGTTGTTGAGACAGCACCTCCTAGTGAACCTCGGAGATCTGGTAGAATTCGCCAAGAGCCTACAAGATACGGTTTTCTTGTGACTGGAAACGACGAACTCATGTGGTTAGAACATGGCGAGCCTACGTCGTATTCAGAGGCTGTGGCGAGTTCCGATTCCGAGAAATGGCACCAGGCCATGGAGTCTGAGATGCAATCCATGTACGACAACAAAGTGTGGACTTTGGTCGATTCATTCGATGGTATTAAAACCATTGGATGCAAGTGGGTTTTCAAGAAGAAAACCGACATGGATGGCATCGTGCATACCTATAAGGCACGGATGTAAGTAGGTTTTCAAGAAGAAAACCGACATGGATGGCATCGTGCATATCTATAAGGCACGACTCGTCGCGAAAGGGTTTCGGCAGATTCATGGTATAGACTATGATGAAACCTTTTCACTAGTCGTGATGCTTAAATCCATACGGATTATACTAGCCATAGTTGCGTATTATTACTACGAGATATGGCAAATGGACGTCAAGACCGCATTCCTTAACGGGAATTTGCTCGAGGATGTGTACATGACACAACCCGAGGGTTTTGTCGATTCTAAGAGTCCGAGGAAGGTGTGTAAGCTTCAGAGATCCATTTATGGACTGAAGCAGGCTTCGAGGAGCTGGAATCTTCGATTTGATGAGGCAGTCAAAGCGTTTGGCTTCCTGCAAAACGAAGATGAGCCATGCGTTTACAAGAAGGTCAGTGGGAGCGCAGTGGTCTTCCTTATGCTTTATGTAGATGATATATTGCTCATCGGAAATGATGTTCCTACTTTGCAAGGAGTGAAATCCTGGCTAGGATCAGTCTTTTCGATGAAAGACTTAGGAGAAGCCGCCTATATTCTAGGAATCAAAATCTATAGAGATAGATCGAAAAGGCTTCTTGGCCAAAGTCAGAGTACATGTTGGGTTTTCCTGGGATCTCAAGAGCGAATCTAATTCGTAAGAGATCAGTTCTAGGGTTTGCGTGATCACACGGATTTTTCACCGGTTTTATAACGTCGTGCATCACAATTCTTCTCACATTCTAGGCATTGTAGGACGTTAGATGGCCATGGGTAGGTTGTTTTGCTTGTTTTTCCTTGCAGGAAGACTCCACGATGAATCCTCACGAAGCGGGCACGGAAGAACAAGAATTCGAGAATGCTCGGGGAGCTCAGACAAAACGAGCGACCCGCCCATTTTATGGGCGGTCGCCCATTTTGTGAGCGGTCGCCCATTTTATGGGCGGTCACCCGTTTTGTGAGCGGTCACTCATTTTATGAGCGGTCGCTCACTTTTTCGCGTGTCAGAGGAAAATGAGCGACCCCCCGAAAAATGGGCGACCGAAAGAAAAATGAGCGACCCGCCTGAAAAATGAGCGACCGCCCGAAATCAAAATCGGCCCAAAAAGGAAAAGCCCGTGTTTTGAGGAGAAAACCTAATTCTGAACTTTGACAAAAAGGGGAGTTTGAGGAGAGAGAAAAAGAGGCTTTTGGGGGAAAAATCACCTTGGAGAGGAAGAAAAGAGGGATTTTGGAGATCAAGGAGGCTAGGAGAAGAAGAGGACCACCATTGAAGACCATCTTGAGCATTTCTTCTCCTTTTCCATGTTTCTTCATTTTGCTTTCTGTTTTGAAACCCTAGTTATGCAGTAGTGACTTTGTTGTGGGTGAGGGATCCCCACTTTTGTATGGATACCTATGCTTAATCTATGATGTCTTTGAGTTTCTTCCATGGGTTTGATGTTTTGTGCTTAATGCTATTGATTTGGTCGAAACCCTAATTGATATGATTGTAGAACACATTGATCATAGGAATATGGGAATGATGTTTGGAACCAAATGTCAAATGAGCGAGTTATTCACATTGGGAGATGGCTTAACTTGCTTAGGGTTCATGATAGGGTACACTAATGCATCTAGAGATCATTTAGATCATTGGGAGATGGGTGAATCGATCCTCTAGGTAGTGAGTTTAAGCTTGGGAGAGACAAACTCTAGAAGAAGTGCTTGAAACCCCCATATGGAGGATAACCCATAGACATTGTAGCATTATTAACCATCCATGCGATTCTTGAGGGATCCCGAACCTACAACGCCTCAAACCATCGTTTTACAAACCGTTAATTTTACTTGCTTTCTTGTATTCCGACCCTTACCACAAACCACATTTTTACTTGACCACCTAATCTAGCTTAGAGATAGACTAATACATCCTAGTCCTCGTGTTCGACCCCGGTACTACAACTACCGTATACTTGCGGATAGTGGTACAAATCGGGTATTAAATATAAGACTCGGTGCGTGCGCATCAAGTTTTTGGCGCCGTTGCCGGGGACTAGGCGTTTTCGTGTTAGTCTAGATTTTTGCTAGATCACCATTGCTTGGATATTTGCTTGGATTACTTTGCGACATAACCGTTTCACAGCACCTTCGGTTCGTTTTATCTCTTTGGTGTGCAGCCCTTCCGGTGCATGACAAGAAGCACAACCGGTAGAGATCAACTCATCTTCGACCCCGAAATAGAAAGGACCCTACGCTTCGCTCGTAGACAGCAAAGACAGTGGGGAATGGCCGAAGAAATGCTAAGAGAAAACAACGCACAGAGAGAACAACCCGAGATGGCCGAAGAGCTGTTGAGAGGGGCCAATGCCCAAAGAGGTCCAGCCCAAGCACCCCCTAGAACGCTTCGAACATACACACAACCGAAGCACACTCAATTGCTATCATGCATCAATCGGGGACCACTAGAAGAACTTGAACTCCTACCGCAATGCATCCAAATGCTCAACAACATGAGTTTCCGTGGGAGACCAAACGAGGACCCGAATGCCCACCTTACAAACTTCAAGATGAACTGCAAGGCAATCAAGAAGGGACCGAGGACTACCCTTGAAGACGTGTTCCTTGAGACTTTTCCCTACTTAGACTTGCTTCTACGGCTATTAGTGACGCTTCAAGCGGATCTACTTCACAAAATTCTCCGATCCCTTCTTCCGCCGTTGCTTCAAGTATATCCGCATAACACACCGTATCATTGGTCGATGGCTGCTTCAAGTTCTGATCAAGTGAGAATTCAACTGTTTCATCTCCGATCTTCATAGTTAATCTCCCAGCCCGAACGTGCACTATGGCATCCGCTGTACTAAAAAATGGTCGTCCTAAAATGATTGGAACTTTGGAGTCTTCATCCATGTCTAGCACAACAAAATCGACCGGTACATAAAACTCACCAATCTTCAAAGGTACATCTTCTAATATTCCCGCTGGGTACTTGATCGATCTATCCGCTAATTGTAATGCCATCCTTGTCGGTTTTAGCTCACCGACGTTCAATTTCTTGTAGATTGGCAAGGGCATTAAACTTACACTCGCTCCAAGATCACACAAGGCTCGATCGATGTCGATGTTTCCTAGCTTACAAGGGATAGAGAAACTTCCCGGATCAGCCATTTTTGGGGGAAGTTCATGCTTCATGATTGCAGCACTGATCTCGGTACTAAGGGCTACTGTTTCCTTTTCCACAACCCTTTTCCTCGCCAAGATGTCTTTTAGAAACTTCGCATATGAGGGCATTTTGAGAATTACCTCATGAAAGGGCATCGTAATCTCCATCTTTTTCAACATCTCCGCAAACTTCCCAAACTGACTTTCTTCATTAAATTTCCTTAGACGAGAAGGAAAAGGGATTGGAGGTACCTTAGGTGGCGGTGGAATGTAGATGGGTTCTTTCTCATGTTCTTGCACCTTTGGAGTGTCTTCCTCTACAGCCTTGATTTTTTCCTCTCTTGTTAGCCTTGGAGGTGATGTCTTCTCAACCATCGGAGGGGTGATCTCCGGAAGTTGTTTTCCACTCCTCAGCTCCACTGCATTGATATATTCCCGAGGGTTCATCTCGTTCTTACCGGGGAGCATGCCTTGCTGTCTTGATGAGGAGGAAGATGCGAGTTGAGCCACTTGATTGTCCAAGATCTTCAAGTGAGCTTGTACTCCTTCCAATTGTTTCTTGAATGCAATTTGCTCATTTTCAATGCTCCCAATGGATACTCCTTGCGATTTTTGACCTTGGAGAATTTGCAATAGCATATCCTTGATGTCCGGGTCTTGCTCCTTGGGTTGTACTTGCTGCGATCTGTAGTTAGAATCCCCTTGGTAGCCTTGGCATCCCAATTTCTCTTACAAGAACACGTCAAATGCGCTAAATCCTCAACCCGCTTTCCAACGGAACAACCAAAGACCTCCGGGTTTTCAATCAAAGTATCAATAACAAGGTCAAGGGAGCCAAGGCTACCAAGGGGATTCTAACTACAGATCGCAGCAAGTACAACCCAAGGAGCAAGACCCGGACATCAAGGATATGCTATTGCAAATTCTCCAAGGTCAAAAATCGCAAGGAGTATCCATTGGGAGCATTGAAAATGAGCAAATTGCATTCAAGAAACAATTGGAAGGAGTACAAGCTCACTTGAAGATCTTGGACAATCAAGTGGCTCAACTCGCATCTTCCTCCTCATCAAGACAGCAAGGCATGCTCCCCGGTAAGAACGAGATGAACCCTCGGGAATATATCAATGCAGTGGAGCTGAGTGGAAAACAACTTCCGGAGATCACCCCTCCGATGGTTGAGAAGACATCACCTCCAAGGCTAACAAGAGAGGAAAAAAGCAAGGCTGTAGAGGAAGACACTCCAAAGGTGCAAGAACATGAGAAAGAACCCATCTACATTCCACCGTCACCTAAGGTACCTCCAATCCCTTTTCCTTCTCGTCTAAGGAAATTTAATGAGGAAAGTCAGTTTGGGAAGTTTGCGGAGATGTTGAAAAAGATGGAGATTACGATGCCCTTTCATGAGGTAATTCTCAAAATGCCCTCATATGCGAAGTTTCTAAAAGACATCTTGGCGAGGAAAAGGGTTGTGGAAAAGGAAACAGTAGCCCTTAGTACCGAGATCAGTGCTGCAATCATGAAGCATGAACTTCCCCCAAAAATGGCTGATCCGGGAAGTTTCTCTATCCCTTGTAAGCTAGGAAACATCGACATCGATCGAGCCTTGTGTGATCTTGGAGCGAGTGTAAGTTTAATGCCCTTGTCAATCTACAAGAAATTGAACGTCGGTGAGCTAAAACCGACAAGGATGGCATTACAATTAGCGGATAGATCGATCAAGTACCCAGCGGGAATATTAGAAGATGTACCTTTGAAGATTGGTGAGTTTTATGTACCGGTCGATTTTGTTGTGCTAGACATGGATGAAGACTCCAAAGTTCCAATCATTTTAGGACGACCATTTTTTAGTACAGCGGATGCCATAGTGCACGTTCGGGCTGGGAGATTAACTATGAAGATCGGAGATGAAACAGTTGAATTCTCACTTGATCAGAACTTGAAGCAGCCCTCGACCAATGATACGGTGTGTTATGCGGATATACTTGAAGCAACGGCGGAAGAAGTGATCGGAGAGTTCCGTGAGGTAGACCCGCTAGAAGTGTCACTAATGGCCGTAGAAGCAAGTTTGTACAGTAATTGGGAGGAGATTGAAGAGATAAGACGAGCGTTAGACGGTCAAGAAGCCAAAAATGAAGTGCAGAGTAAAACGGGCGACCCGCCCGAAAAATGGGCGACCCGCCTGTTTTGTCTGAGCAGCGACACTGTTCACGCGGGCGACCCGCCTGAAAAATGGGCGACCAGCTCATTTTGTCTGAGCAGCGGCACTGTTCACGCGAGCGACCGGTACGAAAAATGGGCGACCCAGTGTAAAAAACGGGCGACCCGCCCGTTTTGTCTGAGCAAAAGCGGTCCGGATACTGTAGAAGCGAGCGACCGCCCGTCAAAATGGGCGACCCGCCCGTTTTCTCTGAGCAAAAACGATCCAGACACTGTAGAAGCGAGCGACCCGCTCGAAAAATGGGCGACCCGCCTGTTTTCACCTGGAAATGAAGATTTGGACCCCGGAAGCATCCTGTCGACCCCCCATACCGTTCTTGACTCATCTCAACGTTCAAAAGAGAAATCATACACTGATTGGGATCCCGAACTTGCTCCACAAGCGGAGAAACGAGTGCTAGAGCTCCATCACCTAGAGAAAATTCCGTTCAAAAGAGAAATCATACACTGATTGGGATCCCGAACTTGCTCCACAAGCGGAGAAACGAGTGCTAGAGCTCCATCACCTAGAGAAAATTCGCTTGGACGCATATGAAAACGCGCGGATTTACAAGGAGCGGGCCAAGAAGTGGCACGACCGGCACATCCTCGATCGAAACCTCCAACAAGGTGACCTCGTTCTTTTATTCAATTCTCGACTAAAACTTTTTCCAGGAAAACTGAAATCAAGGTGGTCGGGACCGTTCATCATAAAGAACGTTACATCTCATGGAGCGGTAGAACTCGACAACGGAAAAGGCGGAACTTTCATGGTCAACACTCAAAGACTCAAGCCATACAATCCAGGGAGTATTAGACCAGAAGGAGGTACCTCTGTACTCTCCCTCTCCTTAATCGATTAAACCGCACTTCGGTCTAGCTACGACCTTAACTAGCAACCCGGTTCATACCGAGATGTACATTCTTCACCTTCCTTGTTTCTTTTCTCTTTTCTTAACTAAACCTCCAAAATTCTCTCGTAACAACCTCTTCGATCAGATACAACACGAGTGCGAGAAAAGATCCGTTTTGCATCGAAAAAAATCGGGAAGTGAGCGGTCGCTCGTTTTATGAGCGACCAGCTCTTCAAAAAAAAAAAAAAAAAACGAGCGGTCGCCCATTTTTTGAGCGCCCCGCTCGTTTTCTCTGAGCAAAAATCACTCCCGCCGAGCGACCGCCCATTTTTTGGGCGACCCGCTCATTTATTCTGATCATTTTTCGATGATTTTTCATGTGTTTCAGATGGATTTTAGCAGCCATTGGGGTAAATCACGGAAGTATATTTCGGACAACATACCTACAAGACTTTAAGCCTCAAGACACGCCCCTTTCGAGTCTATCCTTTGTGAAGGCCACTCCGTTTCAATCCCGATCGAAGGAGAAAACTCTCACCCTACACCAAGTTCAAAACAGGGATATCAAAGCTTCATGTTTCCTTCACATTGCATAGGGCCCATTGTTGGGTTTCCTGGGATCTCTAGAGCGAATCCTATTCCTAAGAGATCGATTCTAGGGTTTGCGCAGCGGATATAAAATAAAAATTT